TTTCAAGAACAGTTGATACTATTCCTTACAGTAAACATTCCTTAGCTTTGGCTCCCCTTTAGGAAGATATGTTTTATCTTCCACTAACCAAGGAGCATGACTTTAGTGAGTTAGGGTTAGACTTTGTCAGTGGCCGTATTCAGAGGACAAATACAAAACTGGATTCCCTTTGAAGCCAGAGACCCAATGTCATGATGGTTTCTCTCTAGATCTTAGCTTAACACACTGGTCAACATGGTAGTAAAATATTACATCATGACAATAAGACATAAACAACATTCTCAGTTCAACATTAACATTCCCAATGCTGGCAAGGGAATCCTTAATGGAATTCTAGTAGAACTGATAATTTGGGGACTCAACAAGGTTAAACCTAACTGACTTTCAATAAATTGAAATTTGTCATAAAGAAAAAATTTATTTTTCACTAAAAGATTTTATATATTTTTGGAAAATAACCCCTCAACAAACAAAGTAATGCTGACCTAATGTGACTACAAACAGTCAGCTCTTCTACTTCATTTTCAAGTCTGTACCCTCTCCCTGTGGCTAAACCCAATTAATACTTTTCAGCCCTTAACTGAATGTGTGTGTGCAGAACCTGATACTCATGATCTCTCGGCTCCCTCCTTCTTGACACTCACCTTTCCCTTAGCTTCTGGACATCACATGCGACTCCTGACTTTTCCCATATCTCCAGCCATTCCCCAGGACACCTCTTGCCACCCCTGGCTAGCTGCCACTCCCCAGCTCTCCCGGTCACTTCTTTTCTCTCCCTCAAGGATCTCTTCTTCTACACTTTTGGCTTCACCCACCACCCAGATACCATACCCCTTTCTAGGATGTCTTAAAGGCATTTCAGATTCAATATTTACAACCATACAATCACAATCTTCTCCATAAACCTGCTGTTCCTCCTTGACTTCCTATCCTGGTAAAGGGCAACACCTTACTTCTGCCAGTCACCCCAGTCAAATACAGGGGCGTCCAGTAGCACAGAGGTCTCTCCTCCCCAAAATCTCTCCTGTGCCACCAGCCGCCAAGTGCTGACTCTACTTCCTTATCATTTCTAAAATCATCCCCTTCCCTTTATCCCACCACCACGGCCTTAACTCAAACCCACATCTTCATACTGCAGCAACAGAGATGGTTCTTGAATTCAAACTTGGTCACATCTCTCTCTTCCTTAAGACATTCCAATGATTCTTTGCCACCTTTAGAAAAAAGCCCAACATCCACAGCCCGGCACTGAGAATCACTGATGAAGGTTAGGCCCCTCCTCCCCTCTCCAACCTCACCTCATGCCACAAGTCCTTCACACTAACCGCATGCATTCCCCAGTGCGCTCTGCTTTCCCTTACCTCCTTGCAGGTGATTTTCCCCTGTTGGCAACATGTGCTAACACCCATGCAATACTCCTTCATCGGGCATAAGGAGGGTCTTCTAGATAACTAATCTCCTCCTACGTCCTACCATAAGACCATGTTCATTCCATACTATGGCACTGGACACATGAGATTATTGTTTTTTTAAATGTAAACCTATTTATGTGGTCCTTTCCCCTGGATAGTGAAATCCCTGAGGATAGGGCCTTGTTTTATTGGTCTTCCATTGTCAGTGCCAATTACAGTGCCTGGCACATAGCAAATGTCAACTAATTTCCAAATACATGAGTAAATGCACGAATTAATGAATAAGTTCTCCATATCTGCCTCAAAGGAATAATTTCACATGCTAATATTTGCCTATGACAAGGATAAAGAAAATGAAGAGATAAAAGAAAATGACCATGACATATATTACCTTACTATATCAGTGAATCACTTGTACTAAGAGTGTCAGTGACATGTAAAGGCCAATGAATGCATCCTGGTATCACAAAACATACTGTATGTTAAACCGTAGGGCTTTGAAATGAGCATTTAAGATCCTGGGCTCTCTGCAGCAACAACAAGGAAATGTCCTAGAGTCAAACTGTAGGAAAAGTAAATGCAGAGGGATGTTTGGTCTTTTACATTTGTCCTTCACAGAACAACGGCAACTGTATTACCCACAACCCGGCTCAGGACAGCCCGATGTGAAGTCTCTTAGTATGACCTGGTTGGAGCAGCTGGCAGCACGTGTGACCTTCACATGTCTACAAGATGATCCCAGAACTCATCCCCTGCTTCAGAAATACAGTGTCAGCAGGAGAAGTGACCTGGAGTAACCAGATGGCAAATGTAAAGTGGGGTCCCGTGGGGCTCTACTAGTTTAGAATAGTCTTCTTATAAAAGGAAGGTCACCCCAGGAAGGGATCACAGGGGACTGCCTCTTCCCATCTTCTCCACTCTACTGCTCTCTGACCATGCACTTTTGCTGGGCATTTCATTTGTTTTGTCCTTTGGCTCCTTCGACACTAACTATCCCTAAAACTGTACATCAGGCCTGAGCCTCTGAAGCTCTTGTTTTATGTTTTCAAATGTTTGAAAGAAATAAAACTCCTCTAACAGGGGACACAAAACTCATGAAAAGACAGAAATCTTCTCTGATACTGTTTAGGTCTTCCTGATGAGGTCTCATGTCAAGAGAGGCTCTCAAAGGAACTGCAGTGATGAAAGGGCAGGAGCTGAAAGGGGCAAAGTTAAGCACCCAGCACTGACGTCACACAGGACTGACCGAACTCAAAAACCTACCCCCACTCCCTGTGTCACCAAAGCAAAGGCTCCTTAATCTCCTTAAGCCTCAGTCACCCCATCTAAAAACTGGGAATGATAACGACAGTCACTATTTCATGGGACTGACTGTTCTACTCACTGACTGTTTGCCAATATGCCTACAAATCTAATGACACCTAAATCTTAATTTAAAAAATTTTTTAAAAATAACACTTTTCTATTTTCCAACATGTCCTTAAATCTCCCCTTGCCTTTCCCATAAAACTTCTAGAAAGACAGTCTGTGGTCTGTATTCAGCCTGGTCCCCTCTACGTTTAGCTCCACATCCTACAGAAATTTCTCCCTTGAGTAACAATGGTCTAATTGGCAATTACAGTTCTTGTCCGAGCATCACATTTGCAATGAGGAGGAAAATCCCCCCCAAAAAATGAAGGCTTCCTCCATGGTAAGAACCTCAAGGCAAACTGGCTGGATGGGCTACGGGTTTTACCTGGAGGGTGGCACAATGGAAGAGGTGGAGGAGAAATGGAATTGGAGAAGGAAAGCCACAGGTCAGCAATGCAGGAACACTAAGTCCAGAATCAAGCTGCAAATACGCCAGACCAAAGAAAACATTAGATACCAAAAGGATCAAGTCAAAATCCAGACTTTAAGCCAGATGAAAGCCAATAGTTCAGAGTGAAGAAACACTGGGCATCTGGGCTCATTTTTACAAGGTGTAGTCATTTGATGTGTGGGTGGGCCACACTCATCCTACTTAAATGCTCCATAGAACTTGTCACTAGGAACTTCTCTTCCTCCGTATCTTGGAAAGACTCCCTCCTGTCCTGGACCCAGGACATCACTCCCTCCTGGTTCCCTGCAAGCATCTTGGTCTTTCTTAGTTCCCAGGCAGGGAGCAGCTTCCCCACCCACACTGCAGCGCCTGCACTCAGCTGGGGCTATCTTGTCTTCCTACTCCCCTTGAGCTATAGTGGCAGTGACTCCTAGCTCATCTAATCATCCTTTTTTCTTCTTCTTGGGCATGAAGCTCAAAGGACTTCCCACCTTCCCTGCAGTTAGGTACAATCACGCAACCAGTACTAGCCAATAGTACATGTAAGTGAGCTCACTATTTCTAGGACTGTCCCTTAAAAAAAAGCCCCCTTGAGATCCTTCACACTCTTCCCCTTCCACCTCACTACATGTCCCCACCTAGGGCAACCTTGCAAAGAAGGCAGTAAAGATGGAATAACTTCTTTCAACCTGGTTGTCTGAATGCACACAGAAAAGCCTTCACTGTGAATCAGAAACGCATATGCTAGATTTTATGTGAGTCTGAAATAAATTTCTACTATGTTAAGGCCCCCAATTTTTTGAGGTTTATTTGCTACTGTGGCTACTATATTTGTCATACAAAAAATACAAAGGCCCAAATGTCATGTGATCAAAGTTTATAAAATAATGAAAGGTGTGGAGAGGAGAGGCTGAATGGGGAACTTTTAAAGTTAATCCTTAGATAAACAGAAAAATTTACTGAGAAGTTAGTAAACTTGAGCTTTTTAACTTCCAGAAATCATGGAGTATATTAAAAAAATTGTAAAAAGTTACTAAAGAAAACTTGGTTTGCTGAGAGTATTGCCCAAGCCTTTTGAGGTTGATCACAAAGGGACAATATAGCCTTCCAGAACATATCCCTTCTACAGATCTCTAAAGGGCAGGAGACATTTAAAGCACCTCTTTGTAATAAGATCAAAATCATCGTTTAAGTACACTGTAGTGATGGTGCCTCATGTTTCACTAGCTAACATCCCAGAAACGATTCTCTCACATCCTCCCAACACTGGGAAATGGCATTTAGAGCACCCATGCAAAGCCCAAGGCTGGGGGTAGGTGATTGAAAGTCGAGCTAGGGGACAATCCAGAACTTTCCAGGGCATTCCTTCTATCTCCTTCACCCCTCCACATACGGAATTTTCCTGTACTTGCCAAGGAAAAACTATTACAAAGCCGATGTGTGACTTACAGGAACAACCAGCATTCCCACTTTACTTCCAGACCTTTCTCTTCATACCTGGGAAGATCCACATAAAGGAATGACTAGACTAATCAAACGTTTGGCTTTTTCAGGGACTTCTATTTACTCTCTAAAAATTAACTCTTAAAAATAGAGATCATAAATGAGTGCTAGGTTTTGTTCATCCTTGACCTTTCACGATTGCTTTCACGATTGCTCAAGACATTTAACTTTCATCTGAAAAGGCACGACTGATCTAGAGGGAGCTAAAACATAAAACAGACATTTTCCTTTCACAGAAACACTATTTAACCTTTAACTCAGAACTTCCCAAGTAGCGCACTCACCTGTAGCTGGGATATAGTTAAAGGGTATCGGAATAATATCCAGGTAACACCTTCGCTGCAAGGGGGGATCGTAAGAGAGCCTTCGTACACCCAGTAATCCCGCAGCAGAGGGTCTGTGCAGCCGTGTGGACATGTCACAAAAAGGCAAGTTAATTTACAGTAATCCCGAACACTGCGACAACCATCGTCAAAATTACAAACCATCCAAATGACACTTCTCAGATGGATGTCATTTTTAAACTAGAGCCTCATACATGTATTCTTATACTCATCATCATGGAGAAAATAATCAATGGAAAATATGAATCCTTTCTATTATTTCCAGCTATCTCTGTCAATAGATTACTATATATATATATGTATATATATGTCAAGTTTAATCACTTTAAAAGAAGTATATCCATGTTTTGTTTTTTTTTTTCACCTTATTAGAGGATTTACCTGACTGAATGATACCTACTATTGAATACTTACTACATGCCAGGCACTATTCTACCTAAGTGTTTTACATTAATTCATCAACCTTTACAACAAACCAATGAGATAAGTACTATTACTAGCCCATATTTTAGATGGAGAAACTGAATCACAGAAGGTTAGTCATTTGCCAAAGTCACTCAGCTAACAACCGACAGAGCCAGGATTTGAACCTGGCTTCTAAGCCTGTATTTTTAACCATTCAGTTCTAGCTACCTCTATATTGCTTCTTCAATAGCAAAATATTAAAATCCCATTATGATTAAGTCATTTATCTCTGTATTAAAATAATTTATAATTAAGTATGATGAGTAAATGCTTAACATGTGATAGAAATTGCCTTGTTGTAGAGCAATTAAATGTAGCAAGTAGAGGATACAAGGCATAAATTTACTTGATTTTGTTTGAAACACTAAGAAATAGCCCATAACTTAGACAATAAAATTTTATGTAAACCAACCTTTAACTCCAAATAATTTTCTGAGTATTGTATGCATAATTATTACCTATACATAAACACAATTTAGAGTAATATCTAAATAATAACATTCCTGCAAATGGTAACCTAATAAAATTAGACATAAAGTTTGTTTCACTCTAGAGATTAATAAGAACTTCACTGATCAATCTTAAAAATATATCAAGGTTATTTTATCATGCTGGTACTTTACACAGAGGTAGTGATTTTTACAAATAATCCTAAGAAGGCTCTTTATGGATTAATGGAACTAGTGGCAAAGTGTCTCCTTTATTTGGAAAGGTTTACTTCTATATTTAGAATAATCTGGAAATAGTATCTGCTGTAGAGAATATAAATCGTAAAGAAACTTTATTAGCTAATAATATGTAGTTATGTATATTCTGAGAAAAACAAAGCAGTCACAACCACAGGTAAAATTCATTTTATCTAATCAGATAAATACTTACCTGGTAATAAAGTGTTAGGATTAAAGCAGGGTATTGTTTTGGACTTCCCCTGAAAAAGAAAAAACATTTACCCCATGTTATTGTAAAAATGTTTAAGTTTTAGAATGAGAAATGTATTGGAACCAAAAATCTAGAATGAAGTCTTTACTGAATGGCTTCACCAGGCCTCACAGATTTGTGGGTGTTCCCTTCTGTCTCTCACTGGAGCAACATTGGCTGGTTCCAACAGGACACTCCTGCTCTCATTCTATGGCTATTTTCTTTGCCACCACAGTTCAATTTTCCCCATAAATCCTGGCATGGAACTTATAGCTGGTGTCCACCTACCCCATAGCAGCGACTTTCCCTGCTCCTAGCACATTCATACCAGAGACTTGGGCTGAATGCCTTGGTGTAAAACGCCATGGCTGAGGGAATTCTTTCGAGGTGCCTTTCATCTTGTTTGCTTTCATCTCAGCTCCTAACCTTGGCATTACAGCCTGGCGCCCAATGTCTCGTGTGTCCCATTTGGATTTGGTACTTCAGCTCTAGGATCTATTCTGGATGCTCTCTGCATCCAGAAAGGGAGATCCGAAACTCAGATGAAAATGTTCTATTCTCATTAACTTTTATCAAAGCTAGATTTAAATGTCACGGGAAATATCTGTCCCCTTGGTCAACGATTCACATTGAAAGCTTTATTTTAAATCATATCATTCAGATTGCTGAAGCAGACAGACCTGTCATGTGAATCGGATTTCTCTTGATTACTCTACTGACACAGACACAACAAGGAAAGTTGATGGGTAACCTATATGTCTCTTCCTTACTTCCTGGGACAATTTTATACATTAAAGAATCCAGATTACTCACCTCCCCCCATCCTCCTGTATTCCACAGTGATTGATGTCCTATCAGCGGATGAATGAAGTTTTCTCGACTCACTTCTATTGAACAAATGTCAATCAAAATGTGTCCCCACCCCCTTTTTACCAGCTTAGTTACCAGGCTGGGCTTCCCTTGGAAGCTGGGTTCACGCAAGCCTGCTCAGGAGATCCTCACTGGAGGCGCTGCCTGGTTCAAGATGCCCTGGGCCGTGCGAGTGTAGAGCTAACTGCACTTAAGAAAGAGTGATCTTTCTCAGAAGTAGCCTTGGGTCTCTCATCCCTTTCAATCAAGCAAGTTCAACTCCTGCTCTTCATTTGCTACAGCCACGGGGGACTGAACTACTCCCCTCCCCAAGGCCACTGAGATTCAGCCGACTCAGTGCAAGCCTAGAAGGCACTATCTGTAACAGAACTCGGCTTCCTAGCAATGCTGGGCTGCACCACTGCAGGGTCATATTGATCTAAGTCACCCTCTCTGGAATATAATCTTATGGCATATGTGTACTTGTCTTCCTTTTTTAAAAAAAAAAAAAAATTTATTTCACATAAATACTTTGAAGTACGGTTCCCCAAATTTTTATTTGTTTCATTTACACCACTTATATAATGAGTGGGCAGGAAAGGGTTAACTCAGCAGGCTGGGATCCCCAAACCCTGCACGCCCTATATAAAGGCCTGTCTTTAGGACTGACTCTTGGCTGGCTCCTGGGATGTAACCTCTGAGGTTGGAATATTCCACCTGATAAGAGTGTTTCTGTACGCCTGAGGCCTTAGGCCATGCTGTACTTCCGGTGAACTCCTGTTGTACCCGTGAGGCCTTGACCTAACCAGATAAGTTTATCCTGACAGTGTGATTCACGGTGAAGGCCTGGTTGTGCCAGTGGAGTGGAGGGTGTTGCTGCTGGAGTTTGAGCAGCTAAGGTCATTTATGATGCAGGCGTTTTGTGCTTGCATGACTAACCCCTAATATTAATTAAAACCCTGGACACCAAGACTAGGGTGAGCGTCTCTGATTGGCCAACACTTCACGCATGTTGTGACACATCACTGCTGGGAGAATCAGGGGCATCCCAATGTGACTCCACTGTGAGGGACTCCTGGGGGCTACTGCCTGGTGTCCCCCAGACTTCACTCCATGTGCCCTTTCCTTCTGCTGATTTTCCACCCGTATCTTCCCACCATAATGAACCATACCATAAGGACAGCAGCTTTTCTGAGTCCTGCGAGTCCTTCCAGGAAATCATGGCGCCCACAGGTGGTCATGGGGACCATTTATACAAGCAGGATTTTTATTTATTTTAAATAATGATTTACCTTATACTGAATATCTTGCAGTATTTCAGTCACAGCCTTCAGGCCAACATGTTCTTTTCCTATCTGAAATATATAAAGCATAAACCAAAACCACAACACTTTTAAAAGTTCAGCTTAAACGAACAGAACCAAGTCTACCTGAATGCCCTCCTTGGGGAATAATTAAATGACCTTTTTTTTGAAATCACTAGGTCAACATCTACTAAATGTAATTAAAGTTGTCACAGAAGCTAGTATAATAAAATATTAGATATGCAATGTCTAAGAATCCATTCTAAATTCTTGCTGTGTACAGGTACCACTCACTGTGCTATATATATAATATATTAAATCACAAAATAACATTATAAAAATGTAAGGAATATTTTTTAATTAAAACTACTCAGTACATTTCAAACCATTCCATTTTTACCTTTGGCATTTATAGACCACTATAAGACTTTATCAATGCTGAAAAATTGTATTCACTCCAAAAAGTGAGCATGTGAACAATATTTCTTTATTACCATAGAACATAATTCTATAACTACTTTCTGTTCTTAAATATTAAATAAGTTAATAATAAATATTAATAAATAACATGCCTTTTCTATAGCCTTCTATTTTAAAACATTATATATCACTACAGCTACTTTTAGTTTATAAAATGCTCCAAAGAAATGTGAGACTCAAAAAGACCTAATATTTAGTATTCTTAACTTTAACAGTGAAAATTGTAAGTGCCATCTGACCCACTTTACATGCTCTATGAGAACGGAGGAGAGTAATAGCAGAGATAATTTATAACCTCAGATAAACAATCACTGTTAACGTTATCGTTTTTCTTCCACATAAATATTTGGAGAATGCCTTAAAAGATATTAGGGTAGCTGTCAACATGTTCATGTTCTCTGTTTCTCTCAACACTAACAAAGTGTGAAATATTCGAGCTGAAAGGGTATCCAGAAGGAAAGGAGAGAGACAAGAAACACTTAAACTAAGATAGGCCAATCCACTTAAACTATGATAGGCCAATCAGTTCAAAACAACCAAGACTTTATTTTTCCAAATGTTTGCAATTCCTGAGATAGGCTCTAAAAACAAAAAATAAATTCTCCAAGGTTAAAAAAAAAAACACAAAAACCTAATGCATATGTCCCTGTGAGTGAAACAACTTGGATTTTTAGGCACTACTCAATCTTCAGGAGAAATGGGCCTCTCTCTGACTTACTGGTTTAACCACGCTATAGCACTTATATGCCTACACCTGCAGCTGGGGTCTGCTTTCCTTTCACACAGCTCCTGCCAGATTATAAACAACTTGGGAGCGTCCACATCTGAACACTGTGAGGCCGCATGTCGCAGTGGACCCAGAAGCCAGCTCACTTGGAGTCAGGCTGCCTGGCTCTCATCCCAATGCGGCTGCTTCCGAGCTATGTGACCTTGAGCAACTGTATTTAACTTCTATGTCCTTCGCTTCCTCATCTATTTATTGGAGAGGATTAAAATGATAGGGCTGAAGATGAGATTAAACCAAAGAATTTAGAACAGGGCTTGAATCATCATAATCCAATTAATATTATCCATTATTATTCTTAATCTGAATGACTTACAGCATCAAATATAGTTTTTACACATAGTTATCACTTAATAACTATCACTGGCTCCTCCTGATAAAGACTCTTTATGTGCAAAACTTTATATCCCACAACAAACTCTGGCTATTACTCCATCTCTTTGCTTTCCTCCTTCCCAATATTTTGTATGAAGACGTTATAACTAATGGAAAGCAAGTACCAATGACAATCTCTGTACCCCAATTGTTGAAATCCTGCAACAGTTCAAGTAACATAAGCCGGTACCAAGAGTCCACCAGGAACCGTGAGACCAGTTAATTTCTTCCCTCTCACCTTTGCCGTCCTTCACCACCACCAAAAATGCACACACCTCTGGTCAGTTCTCCTCTCCTGGAATCCCAGCCCTGTGCCACCTGTGTTTTTTCACTCCTAACTCAATCTCTCCTTAGTTTCCACTGCACTCTCTCATACAGGATGAATCCACATCCGTGACCAGCTCTCCCTCCACCTCGGGCGTGTGTGAACACCCTCAGACCTGCGCAAGGCCACGCGTCTCTCGCGGGCCTTCCGAGCGGACGCCGTACAGTCTCCTGGGGACACAGACTGGGAGCAGCGGCCCGAGCTCTGCTGTCCTTTCCAGTTTGGTCCTCTCTGACCCGCACTCACAAGCTGTCCTCCTGAGCAGACTGTCCTCCTCCGGCACTCTCAAGCCCTCCTTGTCCCTTACTGACTTGACCCACTGGGCACTCCCTGCCAGGCATCGCCTCCTGCTGCCACCCTGGATGTCTCCCCCACCCATGCCCCCTGGCCTAAGTCTCTTCACCCTTCTGTCCGTGGCTTTCCGCTGCATTCCACCTCAGCAAACTTACCCTGAGAAGCTGCCCTGCAGCAGCTTTCATTCTGAAAATTTCAACTGCAGAAGACCATCCCCTCTGACCAGGCAGCCTCACCCACCAGCTCTCCCCTCACTGACCACCGGGAGCCAGGGCTCTGAGGCCTAATGACTTCCCTTCCACCCGCTCCTGGCCAGATGGGCGACATCTCTTCAGCCCCTCTCGATTCTTTGACCTCTCTATCCTCCCAAGTCATCTGCTCTATGATGGATCTGCACTCAATTTATTATAATCCTCCATTCCTTTACCTGGAAGAACAACCTGCCATCCCTTGTACAGGATGTCCTATCTCAAGTGGCTCCCCCACTGACTGTCAAGTCTACTGTCATTCTCTCCTGGCCTATTTCAAGACCCAATCTCACGCCCACACCCTTTGCTCTATAAATCCTTTGCTTTGTATGTCTCAGAGATAATAAAGGTCATCGGGCATGAATTCCCCTAATTTCTTTTCTCCACCTACAAATCGGCCCCACTTGTGCCTGCCCTTTCCCCCTGGACCTGTATTTTGGAGAAAGAGTGGGTCTCCTCCTAGCCAAGGTTGGTTCGTTCACATAAGCTCTCACCCAATGCCCTCCTGCCTCTTCCAGGACTTTTCTACATCAGTGACACCCTCTCTTTCCAGTATTTTTAAACTCCATGTCTGCTCTAGCTCTTTTTGCTCAGAATAAAAACACAGGCAGATCTTAGATCTCAAAATGATTTACTATATGTCACTACTAGCTATTGCCCATCTGTCCTTCCTTCCTTCGGTTAAAGTTTTTGGAAGGGAAGTCTACATTCGCTGCCTCCTTGGAAGGGAAGTCTACACTCATTGCCTCCAACACCCTCTCCTGTCTTCCCTCCTCCAGCCCAAGTGCCAGACTCTGATGGATCTCAGCTCCTCTCCTTGGTCGTTCCTTCCTTCCTTTGTGAAATTTTGCTCTCAGTTCCTGCAAGTTTACTCTCTCCTGAATTTTTCCTCACAGAAACTCATGGTAAGTTAGAACAATCGTGCCTGTTCTCAAGGCTTTTCCTTGCCTACAATGACACAGCTGGTAACTGGAAACACTGATGCTAGTTCCAGGAGACTGGGCTTTCAGTCCAGGGTGCTAAGAGTCTACGGCACCTGCTATAGGCTAAGAATCAGTAACTGAAAATACTGACTTATCATATCTAGTTCCATCCACAAATATTTACTGTGGATTTTTCTTGTTTAAATAAATAAATGTTATTTATTTATATAAATAAATAAATGTTATTTATTTATTTCTCCAAAGATGAAACTAACACGTTCCCGTTCCCTTCCCTTCTATGTATGACTATGTGGTTGTTTGTATTCTTATTTTTATTTTACTATTTTTATTCTTATTTTCAATAATGAGATACTGCCTCCTACTGCTTAAACTTCTCAGATTTGGATGTTTTATTAACTTTTCCAGGTTATAAGAACAGTCTTTAATAATTATTACTGCAATATACTAAAGATTATCAAATGTAATTGTATAATTAAAATATTTTTCATCAATATTTTGGGACTCTTGTTTATTTATATAATACAGTTATAAATCAGAAGGAATATAGGGCTCTGCCTGTGAAAAAGTCATGAAACAAACAATGAGAAGAGAGTTCATTTAAAAATGTAAAGATTTACTTTTAAATTCTATGACATGTGTTGTACTTTTAAGATGTTGATTTGAAAACATTAAGAGACTAGGCCAGGCGCGTGGCTCATGCCTATAATCCTAGCATTCTAGGAGGCCAAGGCAGGAGGATCACTTGAGGTCAGGAGCTCAACACCAGCCTGAGAAAGAGCAAGACCCCGTCTTTACTAAAAATACAAATATTAGCCAGGCGTGGTGACATGTGCCTACAGTCCCAGATACTCAGGAGCCTGAGGCAGGAGGATTGCTTGAGCCTGGGAGATTGAGGTTGCTGTGAGCTAGGCAGATGCCACGGCACTCTAGCCTGGACAACAGAGCGAGACTCTGTCTCAAAAAAAAAAAAAAGAAAGAAAGAAAGAAAAAAGTAAAAACCATTAAGAGGCTAAAACTGGATGGCTACTTTCAAACACGAATAAAGAAATATCTTAGAGATACATACAACTGAGAACCAAATCAAAGACTCAATACCCTTCATGATAGCAACAAAAAATAAAGTACCTAGGAATATATTTAACTAAGGAGGTAAAAGACCTCTACAGGAAGAACTATGAAACACTGAGGAAGAAATAGCAGAGGACATAAACAGGTAGAAAACCATACCATGCTCATGGGTCTGCAGAATCAACATTGTTAAAAGTCTATAGCAGCCAAAGTGATCTACAGATTCGATGCAATTCCTATCAAAATACCAACATCATTTTTCACAGATCTAGAAAAAATAATGCTATGCTTTGTATAAAAACAGAGAAGATCCCAAGTGGTAAAAGCAACCTTAAGCAAAATGAACATAATTGGGAGGCATCAAATTACCAGACTTCAAGCTATAACACAAGGCTATAGTAACTAAAACAGCATGGAACTGGTACAAGAATAGAGACATAGACCAATGGGACAGAATTGAGAACCCAGATATAAAACCATCCTCTTATAGCCATCTAATCTTTCACAAAGTTGATAAAAACATATACTGGTGAAAAGAATCCTTATTCAATAAATGGTGCTGGGAAAATTGGATAGCCACATGTAAAAGACTGAAAAAGGATCTGCACCTTTCACCTCTCATAAAAATCAATTCACAGTAGATAACAGACTTAAACCTACAGTGTAAAACTGTAAGAATTTTAGAAGAAAATGTTGGGAAAACTCTTACAGACATTGGCATAAGCAATGAATTTATAAGAAGACCCCAAAGGCAATCACAGCAACAACAAAAATAAATCAATGGGACCTGATCAAATTAAAAATCTTCTACACAGCCAAGGAAACTATTGCAAAAGCAAACAGACAACCTACAGAATGGGAGAAAATATTTGTATGTTACACACCCGATAAAGGGCTGAAAACTGTAATCTATATAGAACTCAGAAAAATCAGCCAGAAAAAATCAGACAACCCTATCAAAAAGTGGGCAAAGAACATGAACAGAAACTTCAAAAGAACATAGACTAATGGTTAACAAACATAAAAAAATGCTCAGCATCTCTAATCACCAGGGAAATGCAAATCAAAACCACAATGAGATATCACTTATCTCCAGTGAGAATGGCCTTTATCCAAAAGTCCCAAAACAATAAATGTTGGTGTGGTTGCAGAGAGATAGCAACACTCCTACACTGCTGGTGGGACAGCAAAGTAGTACAACCTCTGTGGAAAGCAATATGGAGATACCTCAAAGAGATAAAGTAGAACTACCATTTGATCCTGCAATCCCATTGCTGGGCATCTACCCAAAAGAACAAAAGATGTTCTATAAAAAGGACATCTGCACTACAATGTTTACAGGAGCACAATTTACAACTACAAAGAAGTAGAAACCACTCAAGTGCCCATCAATACATCAGTGGATTAATAAAATATGGTGTATGTATAACATGTAGTTCTACTCAGCCACAAAAAACAATGGTGATATAGCACCTCTTGTATTATCCTGGATAGAGCTGAAACCCATTCTATTAAGTGAAGTATCACGAGAATGGAAAAACAAACACCATATGTACTCACCATCAAATTGGTATTAACTAATTAAGTCTTTTATTTTTTATTTTAGCATATTATGGGGGTACAAGTGTTAAGGTTATATATATTGCCCATGCCCCCCTCCAGCCTCAAGTAAGAGCATGTCCATCCCCCAAACATTGCACATCTTACTCATTGTGATTGTATATACCCATCCCTTCCTCCCCCCTTCCACCCTCCCGACACCCGATAAATGGTACTCCTATATGTCCACTTAGGTGTTGATCCGTTAATACCAATTTGCTGGTGAGCACATGTGGTGCAGTGAAGGGTACAGTTCTTGATGAACTCTTAAGTGCACATATAATAATAGTATTCATCGGGTGTTGGGCAGATGGGAGGGGGAGGAGGGGATGGGTGTATACACACCGAATGGGTATGGTGCACACTGTCTGGGGGATGGACATGCTTCAAACTCTCGCTCGAGTAGAGGCCAATAGACCTCACCTAAACATTTGTTCCCCCATAATATGCTGAAATTTTAAAAAATCTAAAAAAATAAAAAACTATTGCAATCAATAACAGTCTCAATATATATGCCACAAAAAGCAAGTTTAAAAGAGCCCATTACTCAATTCTCTTTGGAAAATTAAGTTACTGAAGAACACTGTGCTAACATTACTGTTCTAATCCCAGGTCATCTAAAAGGCAGCCTAGAGCCATGCAGAACTGAAACTCTAGTTTCTGATACCAACTGGAAGCATTAAATTGCAGAGAGATAAATTGCTGTGTGAACATAAACAATTTCTTGACCTCTCTGGGCCCTGGTTTCTATTCTGTAAAGGGGAAAGGGTTGGAGGAGGCTAAAATTTCTAGGGTCTCTTTCACCTCTATATTTTTTATTATGTCAAGAGGATAACAAGATAAAATTTAAAAGATTCATCTTAAAAAATGAATTAAATTTTTACATTTGAAAGAATGTTTGGCTAAATTTGTATAATACCCTTTGCCTATCACAGAGCTAAAACCTAAATCTTATACTGACTATATCTGCCAAGGTCTTTGCCAGTCTTATTTTATCAGTGTTTTCTATGAGGCACTTCAAATCATCTTCAAGTGAAAATTATCAATAACAAAGAGCTAAAGTAACCCACTACATGATCATATGATGGATTTTTCTTAGATTTTGCTGTAAGCCAGGTTCTAAAAACATTTTCTGAAATTCTTTTTCGTATATAACATGAACTCTGCCTTCAGGAGACATTTTTAAATCATTTCTCCAAAGACCCTGAATGCCACTCTGAAGAAAATTTCTAATAAATAAATGAACTATTTTCTACCAGTGAGTATGGCTGAACACTCATGAACTATAGAGATCAAGTTTTTCTATTCTTAAATTTTTGGTGCTGTCTGTTTATGTATTTGATTTCACCTGTAAGTAATAAAATTGAGAGAGAATAAAATATATTTTCAAAAATGATTTAGAAATAAGCATCTCTAAACGATACAACAATCACAGCAGATCATTTACCTGAACAAACAAAGCAATGATGGCGATTCCATGTGGCTTCCCCACAGCCTCATCAATACTGCCAAACAGAGTGGAGTTCCAGTGGATCAGATGGAGCTGGGTGGGCAGCAAGAGACAGATCACTCATTTTTAATATACTACTTCTATTCAGAAAGACAAAGACACATCAACTTCTTCACTATCTCTACATGGTGTCCTATTCACAAACAGACACAAATAGACTACTGCCTTCATATGAGTTCTCTGCATGAATTCCTTCCTTCTTATTTCTGAACAGAAGCAATGCTTAGTGGATCCCTGCCTCTCGAGTTCAGTCTAGTCCTGATCAGGAGGAACACACATCTAGGGACACTCATGGGTTTCACATGGATTTAGTTACCTTTCCTTAAATGTTGTCGCCTCTGCATCTCCATAAAACAAAACTCCAGATCTGGGCACAAACACTAGAACTCATTCAAAGGATTAGTACCTGCATAATCAAATACTGTGTCACCCAGTATTTCCATCAGGAAATGTACCAAGCCAGTCTCTAGTTCTGGTAAATAATTTCAATTTTCCAAGAATATCCAGAAATAGGATCCTGTAAAAAATGCTGCATTTTTTAAAACCATGGTAAAATAATGAAGGCTGATGTAAGTCTCTAAAAGATTACTATTGCCTACACTGGAGATAAAATTTTATCTGTGAAGAAATGACAAATAATGCTCAGAGGATTCCCTCACTCCTAGCCTCATAAAACTTTGCAGCTTTTAAGTTTATCTAGAATATGCACTTGCTCCTACAACACAGATAAAACACTTGCAAGAAGCCAAATTCAATTCCCTGGATAAACATCAAATGGCCATTGAGATTCTTAGTACAATAGTAGCTAGATAAACCTTCTGCCTAGAACACTATCTTTATCACTAAAGCTTTTAATCAAGTTATAATTACTTACTACCTTAAAACATCACCTCATTTAAAATGACCTAATTAAAAATTATTAAAATCATCCAAAAAGACATAGTTAAAACTCAACCACTATTTACTTTATCATCTATACAAAAACATTCAGGAAAATTATCATGAGGATGGCCCCAAATCTGATTTTTCTACTGCTGAATTTGTCCAAGTAGAATTTGCAATTATAAAACTGACCACTAGGGGGAGGTAATAAAGTTCTCTGCCAACAATAGAAGCAGGAATTTAGGAAAAAATTATAGCCAAGGCTCAAGCTGATTCAGGCTGTGAAAAACTTACATACTGTAACTGCCCAGTAAATGTAACTGTCAAGGCACTGCCTTAAGAAAAACACGTTCTATAACCTCTCAATTAATCATAAAACACAGAGTAATTTTAATCTTTCCTTCTCTGCAACAATAGCATAGGCGTCCTAGCAGTAGAGATAAGAGCCGATTGCCTTAATTAAACCAACAAAGGAGGCCCAAAGTTCAAACGGATATTTTTCTTCTCACAGAAACATTATGGGCATTTTTTGGACAAAACAAAATATTAATAAACCAAAAAAGCATGGGTTTTTCTTTCTCCTACTCCTCATAATTCAAAAACATCACCACTCATGCAGGCTCTTCAAAAAGGGCTTCACCTTTTTTTGTGTTTAAAAAAAACTGAGGGTCCTCATTCCTTACATGTGTGTTGTGTATGGTGACCTTGCTTCCAAGAGCACAGTGAGGAGAGGGGTAAAAATAGTGATTCCACAGTGGAGAAACCTAACAAATACTGTCTGACCAAGGTCAATATCAGCATTGGTTTGTCATGCCAATAGTATGTATTCTTGCTGGGTGACGAAAATGGCCCTATGCTGCTGTGCTCTTTTCCCCAATAACCCACAATTCAATCCAGCCATAAGAAAGACATTAGACAAATCTAACTAAGGGACATCACAAAATACCTGACCAGTACTCCCTAAAATTGTCAAGGTCATCAAAAACAAGGAAAACCTGAGAAAATGTCAGAGTCAAGAGGGGCCTAGGGACACATGAGAACTGAACATAATATGGCGCCATAGGTGAGATCCTGAAACACGGCATTAAGTAAAAACTAAGGGAATATAAATAAAATATAGACTCAATAATGTATCAATATTGGTCCATTAATTATAACAAATGTACCATGCTAATATAAAATGTTAATATTAATAATGGTAGAAACTGGCCATGGGGCATATGAGAATTTTCTTTACTGTCTTCATAATTGTTCTGTAAATTTAAAAGTGCTGTAAAAAAATTAGTCTATTTTTAAAAATAACAGCAAAATAACACAGATGAAAGCAACAAGAGAACCTCTACCTGTCCTCCATTCTACCGTACGGGTCGTCAATAATCACCTGAGACTTAGCAGCTCAGGGGCAGGAGCGATTCCTTCCCTCACAGTCAACAAGTGACCCGAGCTTTAAAACAGAAAGCTTTGTCCTGGTACTGAGAAACTCTCTTTTCTTGAAAGTGCCTTATATCTCATTTTAAGACCAAACAAAACATCAGAAACACTCTTTTCACACCATTATAGGTCAATTCAAGTACCAGGCAAATTTCCAACACATTTTGAAACTGGCCAAACTTCAGCTGTAACCTAGTGGTGGTGACCTAGGCTCAAGACCCACAGGCACAATGCACTCTGCATTGCTCTGCCTCTCGGATTTAGCTTGTTCTGCTCCTGACAGCTTTCCCAATCCATCTGTATTAGTCGACTCGGGCTGCCGGAACAAAGTTCCACAGACCAGGGGGCTTAAACAACAGAAACTTATTTCCTCGCTGTTCTGGAGGCTGGAAGCCTGAGATCAAGGCTTCCTTTTGACTCCTGTCTCCCCGGCTTGTAGATGGCCACCTTCTCCCTTTGTCTTCACACAGTCTTGCCTCTGTATGAGTCTGTGTCTAAATTTTCTCTTCTTATAAGGACACCAGCCAAATTGGATTAGGGCCCACACTAATGACCTCGTTTAAACCCAATTACATTTGCAAAGACTGTATCTGATGTACCAGGAGTTAGGACTTCAACATATTAATGTGGTGGGGGGGGCACAATTCAGCCCATAACACCATCTATCTCACCCTTTACTCGCTTACCACTGTAATGAAGTTTTCTCGTATCTCATGAATTGAATTATTCACATCCACCTCTGTTCTCCCATAGCTCCTTCTTTATTCCTATAATCATATCATATTTTGCTTTATATTAATTAGTGCTGGTTCTGTTCAGTACAGCAAAGCTATAGAGGCAGGAGAGTTATCAGTGTACAGGAAGAACAAAGAGTAACTCTGTGTGTAGCTAGAGGGTATATGAGTTTGGCAATGACAAGAGGTGAGGCTAGAAAGGTAGAGGGGTCAGTCCACACAGAGCTTTAAATTTTGTCATAACTATACTTCAGGAAATGCTAAAGCAATACATTATTGCAATGAAAATTATTACTTATGCTGCCAAGAATCACTCAAACTCCTCCATAATACCCTCTTTCCTTCAAGGGTCCTTTTGACAACATAGCAGATGGATGGGAAGTAGTAGATGTTGGAGGCTGGAATATAAACTGGGAGGCTACTACAGAAGTTCCAGCTGAAAAATTATGATAGGGATGTGGATGGTTAATTTTATGTGTCAACTTGGCAAAACTATGGTACCCGAAGTTTTGGTCAAACATCAGTATAGATGCTGCTGTGAAGGTATTTTTAGATATAACTAACATTTAAACCAATAGACTTAGAGTATAGCTGATTACCCTCACAATGTGGGTGGGTCTTATCCAATCAGTTGAAGGACTTAGGAGCAAGGCTGAGGTCCCCCAAAGGAGAAGGAATTCTGCCTCCAGAGTGCAAGATAAAAATTCTGCCTGAGTTTCCAGCCTTCAAACTTTAGCTTCAACTCTTACATGAATTTCTAGCCTTCAGCCTGTTGCGCAGATTTCAGACTTGCCAACTCCCACAATCACATGATCCAATTCTTTAAACTAAATCCCAATCTCTTCTCTCTCTCTCTCCCCCTCTCCTTCCCTTTCTCCCTCTGTACAAACAAAATAAGTGTAGAGACCAATAGAAATTTAAATCTGAAGACTAGTATCAAGCAGTATAAAGAAAAAAGACCCTAAAAATTAAAGTGACAATATTTGGGATTTATTCTTCTAAGACTAAATATGTTTCCTTTGGGGAGGAGGGATGGGGGACAAAACAATCCTCTGATAATCAGAGGGAACATATTAGAACTTCAACTTATACTGATTTTTATCTAATGTCTTTATGTCAATTTTTCAATCATAAGATATAAAATATAAACATTAATACATCTCAGTACATGATTATAATTTATTAACAAATACACACATATTGAGGACATGTGCTCCAAAGTCTGTCCTAACGCGGATGGTTACGCAAAGACACACAGAGCCCCGTGGGTCTGCACGGATGCACGGACAACCATGCGCTGGAAAGGGTATGGGTTAGAAAACGATGAAGCAGCCCTCTGAGTCCAAGGGAGGGGAAGCAGTCTTTCCCAATCATCTCATGAACTGGCTTAAAAGGGGTCCAAGCAGGCAGCTATTATCTGCTGAGGGGACTCAGAAGATGCACTTCAAAGCCTAACAGTACAGAATGCTCTGGGGTGTGTCTGGTCTGCGGAGAGGGCAGAATGGAGAGGCGGCAACACTGCGCACTTGTGCAACTCCATTGATAAATTCTTAGAGGCAATGTGCTCTCATAAAAGACCTCTGAGCTGGAATCACAAGTCTTATATTCTTGTTTCAGTTCCACAACTCCGTAGCTCTGTGAACTTCACAAGTCACTAACTTCTTTGAGCATCAGTCTCTGTAACACAGAGCTGTACCTTAAAAGCTTGGATTATTCACGCCTCGCCTCTCTCTGTCTTCTCACGGTATTCTCTTTATTCCTATATTCTTATCACATTTGGCCATCATTAGCACCAGTTATTGACAGCCAGCAAAGGCACAGAAGCGGGGGGCTGGAACTGGAGAATGGAGAGCGGCTTGCCAGCTTACAGTGAAGACCACGTATATAAATGCCGCTCACCACTTCTAAGGAGCTCAGGGGCTGGGTGGCATTAGCGCTGTCTCTGCAGCCTAGACGCAGGCGGCCTGCAGAGTCACCTGACTGCGC